CCTAAAAAACCTTCAATCCATCGTGACGCAGTAAAACTTGTTGACACCCCGGGATTAGCTACTTTAGTCAGACTTTTGTTCCTTCCTCAACCTTTGGGCAATAAAAATTTGTTGCATAAATTATTACTTAATCTTTGTGAAAATAGCAAAACACGTGGTGAATTAATTTCAATGTTATTATCCGTTCTTTTCGATGGTAGCGGAGATGTTACTGCAGTCGATAAAAGTTTTGCTCAAATGTCTTTAAAGGGCAAGGGAACGCTTAAAGGGACACCAAGAAGGCAATCAAGTCTTCCAAATTCGTCATTAGCACAAATAACACAAGCTGCCGGTGAAAATGTACCAAATTTAATTGCACAACGATGTTTAGAAGCGTTAACATACATTGTAACATACAACGAAGCTTCTGTTACGTATTTCTTGATGGAGCATGACAATAACATTGGTCTTAAGAGATCTAATAGCAGAAAAGGTAAAGAGAAACAAGCAAAGGCGTTAAGCAAATATCCTGTAGTGATATTACTAAGTCTACTCGATCGTCAGGTGTTTATTAAAAATACTGCATTAATGGATCAGTTAATGCATTTACTTTCGTTCGTTTTGCGACCTTTATCTACATTGACAAAGACAGATTCTAACAATGCTGATGGAGATTCTGGTGGACAGTCAAATAATAATAATAATAATAATGGTTCAGCAACACAAAGTACTAACACCGAGAATAATTCTGGCCAACCTACTGGATCCGACAGCCAAAATAATAATTCAACACAATCCAATATCAATCAGGACAATGCTAATAATAATAGTAATGTTAATAATAATAATTCAGTTCAGGCTTCGGAAACGAATAATGATCCACCACAAAATAACAACAATGTAACCTCCGAAACTAATAATAACACAACTTCAGGAGCTTCTGCAAATGAAGATTCTCGAAATCCAGCGACAGCTTCTTCTTCGACATCATTAGAACCAGCTCAACCTGTTCCAAAACCTCCAGTTATACCTGATTATTGTTTGCGTTTGGTAGTTAACGTTCTTACTGCAGGTGAATGTACAAGTAACACATTTAAATATACACTGACAGTTATTCAACATCTTTCAACCTTAAATGGAGCTCGTGATGTTATTACATCGGAATTAGTTGACCGAGCTCAATCGCTTGGGAATGATATACTTGATGATCTGGATGAGTTGGCCCAAATTTTGCAAAAGGCAGACACTGGAGTAGATGTACAGGGTGTCACCTTGGCCAAATTTTCACCATCATCATCACAACAGGCAAAATTGTTACGTGTTCTCAAGACAATCGATTATATGTATTCTCGCAAGCAACAATCAACAACTACTACTTCAACAAACGCTCAAGTATCATTAGCCCCTACGGTAGATCCGGACGAAGTTGATGTTGTGGCGCCAAGAACATTGTTGGATGGTGGTAGAGGTTCTAAACTGACCGAAGATGAAGAAAAGGTTATGAGAATTTATGATAGTCTTAAATTTACCGAACTTTGGAAAAAACTCGGAAAATGTTTGACTACTATACATGAAAAACCTGATATGATTCATGTGGCAACTGTTCTTTTGCCACTCATAGAGTCGCTTATGGTTGTATGTAAATATGTAGGAATGGCACCTTCTACTGCTCAAAAAATAACGTCACCCGAACCACAATCATCATCTTCCGAAAGCATGGAAGAACTATTCTTTACGTTTACCGAAGATCATCGAAAGATTCTTAATACGATGGTCCGAAATAATCCATCATTAATGAGTGGATCATTTTCATTACTTGTACATAATCCAAAGATTCTTGAATTCGACAACAAACGAAACTATTTTAACCAACAACTTCACAAACGAACAAATGGTCGTGATCATTATGGTACTTTACAACTCAACGTTCGTAGGCAGTATGTATTTGAAGATTCCTACCAAAACTTGCAAAGAAGAACGGGAGACGAAATTAAATATGGTAAACTTAGTGTTCGTTTCTATGAGGAAGAAGGTGTAGATGCCGGTGGAGTGACAAGAGAATGGTTCCAAGTTCTTGCCAGACAAATGTTTGACGAGAATTACGCACTGTTTAAGACTTCAGCAGCAGATAGATTAACCTATCAGCCAAATAGAGCATCAGATGCAAATCCAGAACATTTATCATTCTTTAAGTTTGTTGGTCGTGTCATTGGTAAAGCAATTTATGACGGCAGACTTTTAGACGCATACTTTACTCGTTCATTCTATAAACATATTCTTGGAAAACCTGTTGATTATCGAGACGTCGAAGCTATTGATTTAGAATATTACAATAGTCTTGTATGGATGTTAAATAATGATATAACAAATGTTGTTGACTTAACATTTAGCGTAGTAACTAACGATTTTGGTCAAGAGAAAATTATTGATTTGAAGCCTAATGGCAGTAATATTACGGTGACAGATGAAAATAAGCGAGAATATGTTATGCTTGTTACAGAACAAAGACTTACATTGGCGATTAAAGATCAAATAGAGCATTTCCTTGCTGGCTTCCATGAAATTATTCCTGCACATTTGATCAGTATATTTAATGAGCAAGAACTAGAACTTCTTATATCAGGAATGCCAGATATTGATATTGATGATTGGAAAAATAACACAGAGTATCAGAACTACACATCATCGTCGCCTCAAATACAATGGTTCTGGAGAGCTGTACGGAGCTTTAGTCAAGAAGAGAGGGCAAAACTCTTACAATTCGTTACTGGTACATCCAAGGTACCATTAGAAGGCTTCTCTGCATTACAGGGTGTTCATGGAGTTCAAAAATTCCAGATTCATAAAGATTTCTCAAGCCCAGACCGTCTTCCTTCTGCTCACACATGGTAAGTTTATGATCTACTACAAGATGCAACTTTAAGACTAATAATAATTTATCATTTGTTTCGTTATAAATAGCTTTAATCAATTGGATATTCCCGAATATGAAGATTACGAGCAGTTAAGGTCGCAGTTATTGTTAGCAATTTCGGAAGGAACAACAGGATTTGGATTCCAGTAATCTATAATACAAATTTCAGATGTTAACTAATAATACGTAACTAGCTCTAGATTTCTACTATTCATTTAAATGTCTAAAGTTATAGGGTAGGGACGTGTTGATTTTGCGTAAAATATGATTTCAATATTATTAAAAAATTTGATTTACAAAAATGTATAACATTTATTTTGCTGAATAAAAAAAAAAAAAAAAAATATTCAACATTTTATCTATAATAATAAAATTTATGAATTTTTAAATTATCGATTTGACTTATATTATCATGTTCAAATTGGTTGGTTGTAGCTATTATATACTATTTATAGTAATTTTTGCTTATATATATATATATATAGTCAGATATCTCTATAGTTATCTTCTATACAAGCACATTTTCTTAATAGGCATATTTTTTTAAAAACAAACTATATATACTGTATATATATATGTAGTCGCACCCCTCTAGGTGCACGCTCTCAGGACTATAGTAAAAAAAGGCAATATGTGCACTTAGAGGGGTGTGCATTTAGAGAGGTTAAATTTATAATTATTATATTATTTGGGACCACGAGGGGTATGCACTTAGAGAAGTTTTTCATATACTATACACTTAGAGGGGTGAGACTATATTATTATTAAATATAAAGTAAATAAAGATATTTTGATGAAGTTATCACTTCTTACTAATAAAAGTATTTTAAAAACTTGAAGTTTTATTTTTTTGTTTTTGAACTATGTAAATTTGAATCTGCTTTACAATATAAAAAAATAAAATCTTAAGTTTTATAAAACTATATTATAATCTTTATATATATAACAACAATTTTTAACTTTTTTATAGATATTTTGGTAAATATAACAATTATTAATATTTGATAAATATGGTATTTTTTTGATAAATTAAATATATTACAAAGAAATAAAGTTTTTTTAAAGTAAATTTAACTTTACTTACTAAGTAAAATTGTTTAACATATTATCTTTTCTTACTTTTAACTTTTAGTAAAATTCAAATAACCTTTTTCTAATAGCTTTTTTTGTTATACTGTTATATTAGTATTATATTAATATTTTATTAGTATTTTAAATTTTTTATTAAATAACTGTGTGTAATTTCTAATTATAGTATAAATCTGATTTTATCAAAAAAATTTTTGATATTAATTTTCTTAATTTAGATTTTATTACTTGTTAATCAGATTAATATTTAATAAGTTATTTAAATTTAAAAATATATAATTATGATAAACAAGAGATAACAAATAATAATTTGTTATCTTTATAATATAAACCTGTTGATAAACTCTGTTAACAAGTCTCTTTGATATATTTAATTAATACAATAATATAATAGTATAAACTATAATTAGTAATTATAAAGATGTGGTGACTTAGTGAAGTGGTCTAGTTATTACTTTACCTAGTAGCAGGTCTAGAGTTCAAATTCTATAGACATGTTTTTCAAAAAATAGATTTGCATTAGGTAACAATTATTCATCGATAAGTTGGATCTATAATCTGTAATTTTGGTTATACTATCTTGTTATAAAAGCTTTAGTGCAGAAATACCAAGAAATCAGGATGATCAAAACTTACAGTATTTAAAAAAAACCAAGTAAAGAGGTAGTAGATACTTTTGACAGTGCTACAGGAAGGCTGAATTTGAAAGTGATAGCCAAAATTGGAGAATCAAACAACAACAAGTAAAAGAATTTATCAACCCAACTACTAATTAGAGAGAAAGCTAGCATATCAACCTAGTTAGCCGGTATAAAAAACTGGAATGGTCATCGACCATGACTAGGATTTGGAAGTTAGATTCTATCTAATAACAAGGGTGAGACAGTCTCTGGAGATTCAATTGGAGGAAAAAGTCTGACTAAAGTAGCTAATCCCGGGGTGTCAACAAGTTTTACTGCGTCACGATGGATTGAAGGTTTTTTAGG